TGAAGGGGGAGAGAGAGATTAGTGGGATGAAGCTTCCAATTTGGATTGATGACGTGGCAAGATAATTAAAGACTCCAATTTAAATTAAATTGAAATTGGAATTCGTCATGAAAACTTTCCTAAATTGGAAATCCCAATTAGGAAAGAATTTGAATTTTGAAATTCAAATTTCAAATTTGAAACTTGCGGAAGGAGGGATTGGACGGGTGGGGAAGGTCGCCGGCCACTAAATAAAACATAAAATACATCAAAAATTAAAGGCTCTGAATCGTAGCCGTCGATCGGCGCTGTCTCCGGCGATACACATGCTTGAATCTCTAATCGATGCCCACATCATTCTCCCCAGGTGGGAGAAAACTCGACCCCGTCGAGTAATCATCTGTAGAACTCTCGTACCACTCTAGTGAGCCAGGGTCCACTCACTGGAGCTCCTCCTGATCAATCCACATGTCCTCCGTCTCCGATTTCCCTGTCCAATGAACTATGTACCTGCGGTGACCTCCTTCCTTTGTGGAAATGATCTCATCATCTATTAATGCTTCAATCTTCTCCGCTATGGGTAAGTGGGGGTAAATTGGGGAGTGGAGGTAGGCTGGGGGGATCTCACTTGGTGAGTTCTCACAAGGCTTATTTTGAATTGGATTATTAGGGTTCAACTCGGGTCCCTCAAAGGTTACTAGATCTTCGATATTAAATGTAGGATTGGGGGTCCAGCATATAAGCATTACTATTTATCTTTGACATTATCTTCAAGGCCCAGCGCTTTTAGCATGCGACTTCTTCACGGAGGGATCCGTACCATCACAAAGTTTCCAACCTCGAATTCTTTAAATCTTTTCTTGTGATCTGAAATAAGCTTATAATTGGAATTAATTTGTTCAATGCTTCTTTTAATTTCTTTATAAAGCTCCTAGAGATGAGATGCAAATGCATATGCAAAAGAACCGGTATGCATGATAAATGACAAGAATCAACGCTCACACAAAAGTTTTAAACAGAAATAACTTGGAAGACAACATACTACAAACACACACACACACCTTACTAACTCCTACGAACATAGCTAGAATAAAGGTGGACGAGTCACGAAAAGATAGGTCTAATGTGTTCGGTCTAAGGGAACCGGTGTAGGGGGAGAAATGAAGACATTCTTAGCTACCAGGGTATTTCTATGGGAAGTCTCAGTTAAAGTCGTAGGTAATCTCCTAGGGTCGACAGTGTCATCTTGTAAATTCATCCAACTAGGAGAGAGATTGTCTTTAACAGGGAAGGATAAGAACATAGTGGGCAAAACAAATGAATCAGGAACAAAGTAAGATGATGGGTCCTGACTCACAGCCATAATGGGATAGCCAAACGAGTCACCAGTAGGTATGGGACTTAAGAAATGGGGTATGATATCCATAACAGAAGTGGGCACAACAGTTAGAGTGGTGACATGAAAGTAAGGGCTAAAATTCTCCCTAACATTAAAGTCAGTACGAAGAGTGGTGAGATAACTCCAATCAAGAAAATCACACTCCTTCAAATGCAATTCTAAAGGGGCAACTCCTAGAATAGACTCCAATAAAATACGAGGATGCCCAATTCCCCAATTAGGTTCAAAACCACTCAGGGTCAAATCACTATCTTCCAAATTCGTACTAATATTCTCAATATGATGAGGTAGGGTCATAAGCTTAAGATCAATGGGTTCCGGTTCATTTAATTCAGGTGATAGTGTCAATTGATTCACTTCCAACTCGAAATTATTACCATCCAGATTACCTAAAGTCATCTCAGTAGTTGTTACAACTAAATCAGGATCTTCCAAAATTAATGTGTTCGAAGTCCGACTATCATCCAGGCATACTTTGTCCAAAGACTTATCCTCGAGGAGATTAGGACCGGGGTGGGTTAAGGTGTCGACGTTTAAAAGTTCTAGCTTTCTAGCTCAGGGTTTAAGTCATTCTGGGAGTCTGATTCAATCTCTTTTGTTCCATCCTCAAAGAAGTCCTCGTCATGAGTGACATCACTAGCATCTACGAAATGGATGCACTCAGTCTCAAGTTCAGGGAACCTCTTCTTCTTAATATCTTCCTTTATTATAATCATACTTGCAGGGTCAAGGACTGGGGAGGCTAAAGGTTGACTGGGATGGTTAGAAGTAGGTCTAAGTGGGGAGTCATAAGATATTTGTCCAACAGAAGACCTACTAAAGGGTCACTCATCAAGACTAAGTGAAGACCTACAGGGTGGGGCAGCAACCCGGATGTTACTAAGGGGTGGGTGGTCTTGATCACAGTAAGGTCTACGGGTTGTCCCAACGAAAGAGGTAGGGTGATGCTCTAGATGACGGTCACTAGTAGAGGGTCGGTATTTTAAATTAAGATCTCGCCTCATGTCTTTCCAAGTAGTGTACTCACCGCGAGACTCTTTATGATCTTTCAATCTTGCCCAAAATTGAAGAGCTCGTCCTTTAAGGTGAGACCTAGCAATGCTAATCCGGTGTGATTCAGGGATATGACACGATTCAAAATAGTCATTTAGTTGTCTCGCCCATTCCCTAAAGTAGTAAGGATCCGAGGAACCAACAAAGGTAGGCAGACGATAAGGTGACTCTAAGTGAGATCGTGGAGGCCTAGGCTCAGGTCTAGGGTGATAAGCTGAGTGGGGATAGTCAACAGGTTTCTCCGTCATAATTCGAGTCATATTGCCCACTAGGTTAACGATGTCATCTAAACTCTTTTGGAGTCTTATCGGGTCCATGGGTAAGTGTCAAGTGAAACCTAATGAAGATTGGGTGGAAGGGGCGTCATTTAGACACTCAGTTAAGCTCACTTAGACTCACTACAGGGTGCAGAAAATGTTTGGACAGCAAACCACAACAGTTGGTGAAGAAGCCTAGGTGTTTAGGATGGGTTTTGGGATGTGGACAGCACCTAAACACTAGGTTGGGGTCATCTAAAACTCTCTAAATGGTGCTGGAAAAACTGGGACAACAAGCTCAAATGTTTGTCTAAGTAACCTAAGCAATTAGGGATGTTGTTGTGACAAGGACAGCACTTAGACAATGAAGTAGACTTGCTTAAGGTGATGAAAACGATGCAGAAATTTAGAGGGCAGCAAGCAAAACAGTGAACAAAAATTACTATGCGATGGTATGGATGCAAACAAGCTAAGGGACAGTTAAGTAGACTCCTAGGATGCATCTAGCACATGTAATGCATGCTAGCCATGCTCTGATACCAAGATAATGTGATACCACATGCGAAGGAGCTTCTTAAGAAAATTAAAAGTGATTGACAATGGAATTACAATTAAGGGCTTATTAAGATAACAAGTAAAATCATTAAAGATTCTTGGTTTTCAACTCGCTTAGGCGAAGGAGTACATGTAGATTAACTAATCCTTGGAGATAAACAAAAATAGTAGCAAAGCTAAGAGCTATTAAACAACAATCCACAACTTAATAATGAGAAATTTCATCTTGGGGATTATTCACTCGACTACACTAGGCTTGGCGAGAGAAGATTTTGCAACTAGAATTGAGATCACCACTAGGAAGAAGATGCCGGAAGTCTTTGTCCACGGGAAAGTAGTCGGAGTAGGTGGGGTTGGCGGATGTCCGATGACGATCCAACGACTTGGTGGAAGATGGATCTCATGATCCGCCATTCAACATTGAAGTGGAGAGGGGAGGTGTCGTCTTCTGCTTTCCTTGGCTTCTCTATTCGAGGGAGAAGTAAGATGGGGCGGCGGGAGCTGGAGGAAGAGGGGAGGCCGGCGGGTGCAAGGAGAGAGGCTAGGGTGGAGAAAATGTGTTTAGGGAATTATGGGATGGATTAAACAAAACTAAAATTTAATTTCAGCTTTGAATAAATTGAGAGGGAATTGACTTGAAATTTGAATTTCAAATCAATGAAATTAAGGCCTTAATTGGGGAGTTAATGGATGGGAGCCATATATGGGGCCGGCAGTTTCATTAGAGGAGGGAGGGAGGTTTTAAAATCAAAAACTGAAATTAATTTCAGGATTTTGAATAGAAAGGGTGAGAAATTAATTTGAAATCAATTTGATGACCCGATTAGAAAAGTAGATGTATTAGATTTGACTTATGTTAAGAAAGATAGAGGTAGACCTAAAAAGACTTGATTAGAAAATATTAGAAATGACTTTTCTTTATTAGATTTAAATGAGAATTTAAATTTTAACATAGTACAATGGAGATAAATGATTCATGTAGCTGACCCCACATAATGGTATAAAGGCTTGATGTTGTTGTTGTACTGGGTTTGTAAATAATGCAAATTTTGAATGGTGTGCGAGTAATTTTTGTTCAAAAAACCGAATCATAATCTGGAACGAGTAATCATAGTTCAATGTGCACTTAAAAAGAAGATCAAAAGTTCTTAACATTAGCCAAAAAAAAAAAAAGTTAATGAAAATGCAAAAAGGAGTTTCTTGGTATCCCATTTTATGGAAGATTTAAGAAGATTTAGTTAAAATCCTGCCGAATATAACTTTAGTTATTTAAACACTATTGTTTTAAATCTCAGTTTAGATTCATTATTGATTAAAATTAGGATTTGCTAAATCTTTCAGAAGATTTACCAGATTTAAGAACTGCACCCTCTCACAAAGCTTAAATCCTAAGATAAATAGTTAGACAGTTTATCCGAATTCAGCAAGATTTAACAGTCATCATCCCAAGCAGGATTTCAATCCTCTCAAGATTTACTAAATCTGGATTCACGGGACTACTAAGTTCTACTTATAGCCAAAGAGCACTTAAATCTCCCAAGATCTCCAAATCCAATCACTACAACACAACTTGAAGAAAATAGATCAAAAACACCTGCTCCAAAACAACGCATTCCTAAACAAAATAGGTTAAACATTAAACAATTTAGGAAATTCTGAAGAACAAAAACCACTTCTCTAACAAACAAGTAAAACCCATATCGAATTCAACTGAAACTGCTGCAGAAATCACATGAAATAAACAATAAAAATAGAACCTTGCGATAAGTGGTGCCGTCCTCCTCGACGATCCAACCAGCCTCCGCGCAGAGGGCTTTGAGGACCTCGTTGTTGTCGCAGTGCTTGGGGAGCTGATAGTTGCCGAGATTTCTCAACCCGGAGAAGATCTTGGCCGCGATAGCCCTTCGCCTTCTCTCTCTCCTCTTGTTGTTTTCTCTCTCCTTCCATGTCGGCATCCTTCCCCCTACCGAAGTCATTTCTCTCTCCTCTGCTCTTGTTGTTTTCTCTCGCCTTCCTGCTTTCCTCTGTGGTCTCTTTCTCTCTCTCTCCTCCCCCCGCTGAGCAGGAATCTAAAAGGCGGGATTAATTAGTAGTAAGATTTGTTCTTAATTAGATTAATTAAGGGAGTGATTAGCCTGTTGAGTGTTGCTGATAGCTATTACCTTCTGTTTGATTGGCGATTGTGGCAACCAAATTGATTAATTAACAAATATTTTGTTAACGATCACAATTTATAAGTATATTATACTCATGGTCGAATTATTATTTTTTTAATTTGAGAGACTTTTAATAATTAAATTTAAGTGGGAGCACAAAATAAATTAAATCGACTGCTTAATTTGGGACATCTTTTCAAATATTTTCTAAAATAACTTTTTGGTATAAAAATCAGTAAAAAAAGTTGTCTCAAAAGAAGCCTAGATCTCATCAATGACCACTAATTAACTTCATCTAATCATTTTCTAATTAAAATTAGGGGTGTCAATTCGGGTCAACTCGTCGGGTTCGAACCCGACTCGACCCGAATCTTAAACGGGTCAATCCGAATCTGACCCATTTTTACAAACGGGTCGGACATTTCAACCCGGACCTGACCCGCGACCCGGTAGTATCACCCGCGACCAAAACAATTACATTAAACTTATACATGCACTCACATTGGCTTCATTTGGGACTGCTTTCTTACCGCTTCTTAAAGCAATTTTTTAGTATCAAAATTTTAATTTTTATACTAAAAAACTGCTTTAAAAAATAAAATAAAAAAAACTATCCCAAATGAAGTCATAGGAAATCACTTCCTTATTTATCAAAGCATTTACCATTTTAAATATGCAATTATTCTTTAGTTCATGAGAAAATATAATTCATGTTCTACAAGTATATTATTTAGTCCATTTGTTTCAAGATTGATGCCTATTTTTTTCAATCTTTGTGGGCAATAGCTCCTTGGGTTATAAGCCCCATAACTTTGGCATCTTCCCTCAAGATGTAATAAGCCCTTTTTTTTTTTTGTTCTTCTTTCAACAATCTCTCTTAGGATAGTAAAATGTTGACGCTCTTCTAGACTCATTCTATGGAAAAATAATTCTGTGCGAACACTAAATGTCATCCGAAAACAAAAAAAAAAATGCACCATGCCACCTTTTAACTGTACCGCGGCTCAGTACTACAGCTCAGTACCGCGACATCTGGACATAGAGCTGAGTCCGTCATCCGCACAAAATAATTTCTCCATTCTATGCCTAATATTGTTGAGCCACTCCTATTTTTACACTTTAGGGAAGATACCAAAATCATGGGGAAGGCTTTGACATTCCAATCCACTTTATTGCTTTACCTCTTATACAACATTCCAATTGTCTGTCACTGGATCAAGAGCATAAACCAAAACAAGGCATTTACAAGCAATCCATGATAAAAAAAAAATCAGGGAACCAAGCTCCCATTAGCAATCATCATATTGGAAACATGACTGACAAGTAAGAACAAGAAAAAATAAAATAATAATTGGATTACATTGCCATACCAATGAAGAACAAGGATTGTAGCACATCAGAAACAGGTAAAATCTCATGGACCAAATTTTACAAAACTATTAATAGACCAGCTAAAACATCAATGGTAAGAGTTAGGAAAGCGACCAAGTTATGCAGTGACAGTACCAAGCCAAAATAGAAGCGGAAACTGGAATGCAACCATTAAGAGAAGAAGATAATGCTGTCTGCTTGAGTGTTTTTCATAACCCCTAGCACCACCCAGCAGAACCCTCTTCATTGTCTTCAAGAGAAACACACCTGTGCAAATGCAAATCCAAGGCAGCATAAAGTAGTATGAAAAGCTCCAGAATAACCTGGCCATAATGGCTAGCGACAATGCCGCGAAGGCGTAGCCGCCATACGCAACGATGTCGAGCAACGGCGCCTCTCCGCTGCCCATGGAATACAGAATCCCTTCCAGGATGAGGACCTCGAAAAGCCAACCAAACAATCCCTTGGTAAACTGCAAGCTCAGTGCTTCTGGAGTGAATCTGCATCATAAAAGAGGACCTCAAAAGGAGGTAGATAACATGAAGTGGGAATAATAGATGCATGATGATGCAGTGGATCGTTGGAAGAATCAAACTAACAAGAAGAAAATCCCAATCTGGAGAACAAAGACAAACACCAAGTTTCAAAAGCTTCAAAGAGAATAATATTTCATCAAATGCTCCATTCCTACTACAATACTTACATATTTATAAGGCTAATAAGAGCATACTAGAAGCTATTAGTAACAACTTATGAATTATGATATGTTAGTCCTAAGGAAAATCTTAGCAAAGATGTTCCACATCACATGAGGGTCCCTCCAAATGAGATTCATGAGATTATGGTACAAAGCATTACACCTCGGGTATAGAAGGATTGGTTCTTTGATTCAAACAAGTGAACTCCCAGTAAAACAATCTAAATATTCCCCAGGACAACTCTTAAGTGGAAACAGGAAATGCTTTGTATGATTGTAATTGACTGATGTGAAGATTACCTTCCAAAAACACCTGAGTAGAAACCAGAAAGAACGACATAGGTACCAAAAGCCATGAAGGGAATATACAGGTCTGGAGCATTAATATCGTGGATTGGTGGTTTGTAAGAAAGCTTTCCAGCAACCGGCTCAGTTATCCTTGTCCAGTGTCCCTGGAAGAAATAATAGCAAAAAATAACATTCTTGACTTGTTAAGCATTGAGTAAAGGGGATGGAAACTAAGGCTTTGTTTGGGACGGCTTTACTATTGCTTCTTAAAGCAGCTTTTTAGTACAAAAATTAAAATTTTTATATCAAAAAATTGTTTTAAGAAACAGTAAGAAAGCCGTCCCAAACGAAGCCTAAGTATAAATTGTGGTTCTGAGCTTACTCTGTGCAAGAATGGAAATAGGATCACTTTCAATTTGTTCCTTACGTAACGGCCATTCACCTGGAAGTAGTACTGTGGATCAGAGAGATGCTGAGTAATCTGTCCAAAAGAACCACAAAAATGTTTATGTGGCTTAAGGCATATAAGAGCCATTGATGTAAGTGATAAGACATCATACATTGCTCTGCATGAATTCGGAGCTTGAACCCAAGAACCTTTCCCCATATGCACCCAAACCTCCACGTATAAGTCCACTTCCAGCTCCATTGAAGACGTTTCCAAAAGCATTAGACTGAGGGTCAGAAGTAGGCCTCCGCATTCCTGGCCAGTTTCCAAGGTTTTGTTCCATGGCTTCAAAAAATCAAGATATGGAGATAAATATTCATCAGAAAAAAAAGTTAAAAAGAAACATATTCAAAAGTAAAAATTTAATGCGACTCACAGATTTTTAGTAATTGCAGTAAATTAATCTAGAAAATTCAAATAATCTATAGCAAGGCAGCAAGCTAATTTTAATTTGTGTTTCGTTATAAGTTTTGGCATTCCCAACTCTCTTCTTCTTGAAAAGTTTCGTCCATACATGTTTGAAACTCAGGTTAAAATTGGGAAAAAAAGAAAAAAGATTCATCATTCAACCAACAACTTAAAATATATTAAAAAAGTAATTAAATGTTATGTAATTGTTTAGAGAAATTTACATAAAACTCCCTCAGTGAATTCTAAACTCATCAGGATTGTTACTTGAAGGAGCTTGGTATTGATGATCTCTCAGCTTTCGACATAAGACATCAGTCCGATAAAGTATGCTGGTCAAACTGACCTACCACACTAGTTGTTCAAGACGAATAGAAAGTTGTGTAGTACAAGCCCCTCGCAAGTATGCAAACAAATGCCTTGCATCAAAGGTATAGTTGGGCTAAAATCCAATTGTAGTGGGCATGACCTTGTGCTTCTCAACCATTGAAGGTTCATGATTGACGACTTGGAGACATTGAAATCCTTGACTTATTCAAGTCATCCTTCAACATATCCAAACATTCAAAAGTAAGCCCTTAGACAGACTCACATTTCCTCCTTTCATCAAGAAGTCCAACTAAAAAATTGAGATAAGAGTTTTAACTTTTAAGTTCAATTTTTTTTAAAAAAAATTGAAAAGAAAGACATTGGCTCCTAATTTGTAAATAACCATATTCATCAAGTCGCTTGTTGACGATGAAAACTTATCAGGCCGAGGTGGCGATGAGGAGTATATGCATCAAAGGATAATATATATATATATATATAGAGAGAGAGAGAGAGAGAGAGTACGCAATATACTAGATGGGGAGCTAGAGAGGAATCAATCTAATGTGAAACCAGAAATTTGAATCTCAGAAAATTAATAAAAGTTTATTAAAGTAGTGAAAGTTCAATCTTAATGGTTTGCTTAATTGAAACTTCAAGAAAGATCTCATAATTTAAACAAATCTAGGCAAGTAATACCGCTAAATTAGCAAGATCTATAAAATAACAACGGCAATAAGTAGTAGTGCAAATGAAAAGCCAACGAGAATCCAACGGTTAACAAAGCGATTGTCTCACCTTGAGGCTACGCTCATTTATCTACTTCTAGGGTTGTTGGGAGAAGAAGAACCACAAAAGAGATGAGACCACTCCGAGAGCGACGATGCCGAAGATCCGTAGGGAAGGAGAGGAAGGCGCCGGATGTGGAGGTGGTGTGGAAGGTCGGCCGTTGATTGTCCACTCGTAGTCCAGACGTTGTCTATCAATAACTTGGATGAGGGTCGGGAGGATCCGATCCAAGTAATCTCCCACGGTGTCTTCGTCGGATTCAAATCTCGCGTCGAAGAATGGCAATCGTAGTACGTCGAGATTAACTTGGGCATCAGACACAAGCCCCCATTCTAGCTCGGGATCCGCCATACGACATGGAGTTGACGATGGGTGGTGGCCACGAAGAATTCTCCAAAGGGGAAGAGAGGTGGTCGGCGGGTTGTAGAGAGGAGGGGAGGCCGGCGGTGGGATTAGGGTGAGGGGAGAAGTAAGGTTTTAGAAAACTGAAATTGATTTCAGTTTTAGGGATTTCGGAGGGAAAAGTAATGAGATTTGAAATTCCAATTAAATGCAATTAAAGCATTAATTGGAAAATAATTAGGGTGAGGACAATGGGGAGCCGGCGGTAGGGAGAGAGGGGAGGAGGAGTTTTAAAACTGAAATTATTTTCAGTTTTAATAAAATTGGAGGGAAAATTGTTTGCACTTAATTTGGGATTTCAAATCACATGAGGGAATTAAGTGCTCAATTAATGGGGACCAAGAGAGGGGGCCGGCGGCATTGCTAGAGAGAGAGGGAATTGGGGAGAGAGGGAGAGGGGTTTCCAAATGAGGATGATGACTAGGAAAATCTTTTCTCATGAATCCAATTTCATTTGATGTGAAATTGGTTTCAAAATTCAAAAACTTTCCTAAAATAGAATTTCCAAATTTGGAAAGAAATTGAAATTTGAAATTCAAATTTCAATGAGGGGTGGAGAGGTAGATGTGGGGAGGTGGCGGAGAGGGAGGAAGGTGGGAGGAACCGGCGGCAAGGTGGCCGGTTGGTGGGATTAAGGTGGCCGACGAGTGATGATCCCCAAAGAGACGGCAAACGTGGAGGGGCGGTTTCTTCCAATCCGTTGGTATGGATTGTAGTATTTGTGGATGAGGAGGAGCTATGGATGTAATTCCTAAGAGAACTCACAAAGAGATCTCATGTGAAGAACTCACCAAGAGATCTTCTTGAACTCACAAAGAAAACCAATAGTAGAAAATTTTTCATTCAATCAAAAATCATAAAATACAATGACAAAGCCTTTATATAGGCTATCCGGAAATGAAAAACATAAAGACGACATTGCCCTTGGGCTACAACAAGCACTAATTCCCTCATAGGGGTACAAAAGGAAAATCATGAAATATAAATGACATGAATAAAATAAAACATCAAAAATAAAGACTCTGAATCATGGCTGTTGATCGGCGCCTCCTGCGATGGTACACGTGTCGAAATCTGATGTCCCCATCACAATCAATGAGAAATGCTAAAAAAGAGAGGGCACCAAGAATTTTTAGAGTTGTTTGATGATGTCACCTAAGTCCATCATGCGATCAATTGAAATGATTTATAGAGCTTTTGAACCTATTACAGAGAATGGGGTTTGACCGAGGAAGTCGCAACAAGCGAAGATAGAAGAATAAATCAAAATTAATCCACCTGGAACAAGGAAGGAAAATTCTCTAATAAATAAGCTACAAAAGTTATTTTCAAAAGGATGAGTGAGAACGAGAGGAGTCAACCAAGTCAAATGTTTCCCAACCTTGTTGAAGACTCTAGAGGAATCGTGCAATCAATCTCTTAGCTAATCAGTCAATTTGCCAACCTCCTAGACTTTTGTGTCTTTTCCTTTCTTATAGGACTTTGTATGGAATTCATTATTCCTTGAGACATGCCTGGGAGTGTGAGTGAGAAAAGCCAGCTCGAATTCGACTCACCAACGAGGTCATGAGCCAAACTTATCGAGCCTCAAGCTCAAGTTCAAGCTTGAAGAGACTCAACTTATTGGATTGTGAGTTGGATCAATTAAGATATATTTAGGGTTTCTCCGCAAAAGAAACATTGCTAGTGAAGAGTCACTTAACACAATAGAAAGGAAAAGAGATGGAGTTATTTCCAATAGAAGAGATGGGGTTGCATTCAAAGCAACAGTAAAAAGCTATACAACTATTCATTAATTTAGTTCTTTAAGTTGTACGTTTCTTTTTTCTTTTTCTTTTTTTTTGAGAAAAAAAGTGATGGGATTGTGATGTTATTCTCAATTCTTTCCTCAAGCATCACAAACTCCTCTTCTTCTTCAAATAATATGATAGGCCGGTCCCTCCTGGACAGGTCATAGAAGTTCCAGTCCACCCTGGGCTAGCCAAGGTCCACGCCAAGCGTAGAAGCCAGGAAAACAGGGGGGAATCCCGCCCCCTTTCAGGTGGGCCCAAGGCCAAATTTGAATGAGGAGAAGGGGGCCGCTAGGAGGGAAAAGCAAGGGGCTATTTTGAGGATTTTAGTTATGAACATTGTATGCTTTAAATATTATTCCTAGCGTTCCTAAATTATGTTTAATTATTTAGGAATGTTTCCTTAATCGTTTTTAATCGTTTAGGAAGATTTCCTAAATTATATTTAATTGTTTATGAAGGTTTCCTAAATCATGTTTAATTATTTAGTAATGTTTCCTAAATCATGTTTAATTGTTTATGAAAGTTTCCTAAATTATGTTTATGTTGTCTTGAAATGTTTTAATTATGATTATTATGTAATAGGGATAATTAAGAGAAAGTGTGTTTAGGGTTAGGGCAGGAGATAATTGGAGTTTGTTGTAGCTTTTTTCTTTGAGGGCTTCCTAGCGGCGTCAAGGTTGTTTGGGAGAGCCGATATATCTCTCAAATTATAGATCACCTGTATCTTACTTTCAATATAAATTTCAAATCCAAAAACATCCATTATTGCTAGTATTTTTGCGGTTTTTCCATTGTCATTTGTTGTTTTTGTCTCCAAAGCGTAGCACAATATTGTCCACATCATTCCTTCTCCAACGTGTTGCCACTGCAACTTCCTCTTCTTCTGCAGAGTCCAACCGCCAATATTGTCAATGCATTCTCCTATGAGATCCTACAGCGACTTCCCTCGCCATTCTGGTTGATGCCTTCTCCAGCAAGATCTTGCAAAGAATTCCTCTGCTAGGCTTACTGATCCTTTTGTAGCAAGATCGCATTGCAATTTCCTTCGTCGATGCTTCTCCAATGAGTTCCCACCCCAACTTCCTCTTGAGTTGAGCTCATGAGCATGGGAAATGGAAAAGCCAAGATGGAGCTCATTCCATGGGCACAACTTGAGCTCGAGGTCGAGTTCAAGCCACTTTCTGAAGCAACGAGCCAAGCTCGAGTTTGTCGTGTCTCAAACTTAACTCTTTTAACCTCTAGGCGTGTCCACCATATGACAATATTACTGGAGCTATAAATTGATTATGAGTTCATGTTCTTATGAGATGTACATCTTTGTGCCTCAGAAATTGTCAATATCATTAGAAGGAAAATTGCAGGGGTCAATAGTACTAATGAGGTAACGATAGTAGGGAGAATGATCCTAATGGTGCTAAAAAAGCAGCAATGTAGAAATTGTGCTTCAATTCCATCAGTACAAATAATAAATAGCAAAGAGTGAGTCGGTATAAAAGAGTGCATTAAGGCCTAGAAGTTAATGCCAAGATATCGTGGGTACCAAGGCAACCTTACGCTTGACATTCTTGGGAGGTCCCTTTGATTGACTAAGCCAAAGGATTTCCCAAGAGTATGACCAAGAATGAGGCTAAGAGACTATTCGAGAAGACCCCTAGATCCCTGAGCCTAGACACTTCCTGAGACCTCCCTAAGGATGCTCTCAAGAGGTTTCATGAGTGTAGTTGAAGAGTTGATGTATGTGATTGTGACATTTAGAGCTCAAATACTCACTACATGTAGATTGTGATTGATTTTTGAGATGTGCAAGGCTTTTGAGGTTATATAGCTACTTAGATCAGTATTCTTAGCCTTAGTGCGCAAGGACAAAATAGCCTACCAAATCTTAAAAAGTGAAAAATCCAATGATAAGCTATTCCCAGAGCATCACACTCTTTATTGTTCATTGACTTATTATTAAAATGTTTGGAAGTATAATCCTTTGATCACTTTGAGAATCAAGGTTTTTATCAACTACATAAAGAGAAATAAACACCTCATGGTTAAAAGTGATGTTGAGTATAGTTCGAATGAGTTAACCTCAACTTGAAATTGATGATTTCGATTTCAACATGAGCCAAAGTAGGTTCGAGTAATAAATGATTGATTTTTAGTGAACTTTGTAGCTGATTTGAGTCAAATTTAATATTCTAATAAATTATTTTGAAATTCTTGATTAAGTTTGTGTATGGGGGTGTGGATGTGCAGTGCAGTAATGCAAAAGTCATTCAACTTTAATCTACTTAACCATTTCTTCACTAAATTAGAAAATGATAGGAAATTCATGAAGCTTTCTATTTGATAACAATTTAATCAATTGCTGAAGGAAAATATAAAATATGTGATGATAAACGTATCACATTAACTAATTAAGATAAATCCAAGGGATCACTAAACCTATATCAAATATGTTTTGAATTTTATTATATATTCCAAGGTTTAAAATTGCGTAACTGCGCCTCGAGGCGGTTTTCGTCCGTGAGGCGAGGCGTAAGCCTCGAGGCGGTCTGAGGCGTAAGCCTCACGAAGACAGAATTGCGTAAATGAAAAATTCAGGATTTTAGCAAGAAAATAATAGCAATATTGGCAAATAAGAAAGTAGATGCAATAAAATTATGTCCCAAAGTACAAAATCACAAAATATTAGTTTAACAAAACTCCCAAAATACAAAAAACATATGAAATGAAATCATATCCCATCACTAAATGGGTTTTCAAGTGAATCTTCTTCTCCTCATACATAGAAGGTGCTTTCAACCCTCTTCCATACAATCCTACAGACCGTATCATACTGAAGTAGGCAGGCGATGTAGCAACATTAAATGGTATTGCATTTTCAAAAA